CGAAGACAAGCGCGGCGCCCTGCGAGGTTTCCCGCGGGGGGCGCAGCGGCTGCTCTTCCTCCTCCTCCCCGCCCCCGGCAGGGCACGGAGCCCACGGAAGGGAAGGGATGGGACTAGCCCCGACCCGCTCCGGGGTCCCCCATCCTCGCTTGCCCCCGACTGCAATCCCGGCCCCGGCTCGGCTCACTTCCGCCTAGTCCGGCGCCCAAACGCTTCCCCGCCTGGCCCGGAGGAGACGAGATACTAATGTTCCGGAGGAGGAGCGGAGGAAAGAGTCAAAGAGGCGAGGTGCTTCGTGGTTGACCGCGTATTGCTGGTTCCTGTTCGACGCGATAGATGCGCCCCGCGTGCGTGGCCTGAAGGAGGCTGAAGTCAAGAGAAGGGGAAGGTGGGGCGAGTCCGGCTAGAGCAGTGTTTCTCGACCTCAGCAATTTTAAAATGTGTGGACTTCAATTGCCAAAATTCCCCAGCCCAGAAGTCCCAGCCATGCTGGCTGGGGGATTCTGGGAATTGACATCCACACATCTTAAAGTTGCTGAGGTTGAGTTGCTGAGGTTGAGAAATGCTGGTTTAGAAGAATGCAAATGCGAGGAAGAGAAAGAGAAAGAAGAAGAGGAGGAGGAGGAGGAGGAGCTTGTTGCTTCTTTGCTTTGAAAGGAGGCTAGTCCTCTGTGAGAAAATCCAGCCTTGGTTTTGGTTTTGGTTTTAATTGATTACTGTATGAGCCATCAAGTCGGTTTTGACTCTTAGCAACCACCTAGATAGATTTTCTTCATGATGATCTGTCCAGGTCTTGGTTTAGAACCAATTTTAGAGGGGCTTTTTTTTATTTGCATGTTTACTTTGATGATTTTTGGGGGGGAAAGGATCACTTTTGCTCATGGTTTTTTGGAGCAATGCTGGCTGGGGAATTCTGGGAGTTGAAGTCCACAATCTTAAAGTTGTGAAGGTTAAGAAACACTGCTCTAAACTGTAGAGCCCTCAATGGCAAAAGTTAAATGCCTAGATGGTACCCTCAATGGGCCTTTTGCTCTCTGATGCATGCTTGACAAAGAGGAGAAAGATGGAGATGGGTTGTGCTGCAAAAGGAAATTCCCATCTAGTCTGAGCGTACAGTAACACAGAAGAAGAACATTGTAGATTTTATCCCACATAAAATCCTCGCCCACAATCTGCAACTCTGCTTACCTTGTGAATGGAGCTGCTTGGGCCAGATGCACCACTCGAGCTCATAGGGGAGTCCCAGTGCCCCATACGTTGGGCTGGGATTTTATAGGTTGATCATACTAAGACTCCATGTTCCAAAGCCATGTGTCCCTTGCTTACAGTCACTATTTGTGAGACAAGATGACCTTCTAACACATCCAGATTTTGGATGGCTGAAAGTATTAACAGCCTGCTTCCAATCATAACACAATCAACCATTCCCCCCTCCAGATGATGGGGTTTAGGTTGACCTCCAGCTGAACTTTTAAGCCTAAATGGTGCAACCACGATCCCGCCTAGATTTTTGTGTGATAATGTAATCTAGAGAATTCCCTCACACTTGTTGGGAATGATTGTATTATAATAATAATAATTTTTATGCCTCCTGACTCCCAGCAACTCTGGGGATATCTGGGGAGCCACAACTTGGAGTGCAAACTACTGAAAACTGATAGGTTTCCTTTTGGAATGGAGACCCTGTATGCTACACATTTACTGTGCACAAATGTACAGAAGTACATTTGTTTTCAGTTCTCTAATGTACAGTATATATTATGTTGATCTGAGCTTAGTAGAACAGTCTTCCTGAACTTGGTGCCCACTAGCCTGCACTGAGGATGCAACTTCCAGAATTTCCAGCTGAGATACAATTGTGAGAATTGTTTCCTCTATACCTCCTGGAGCCAACAGGTTGGGGAAAGTTGTAGTAAAGCCTTGGGGCCAAATGGGGACCTTGGGTATGAAACGCTTATTAGGAAATTAACCGGAAAGAAGTAAAAATGCAAACTGAGAATTAATTTCTGCTCCTGTAAGCGAAGCTGTTGGCAAACGCTCAACTCTGACAGTCTCTGGACTGCCTTTTGCAGTGTGTGGCACTTTCCAAACCCCTGAATTTCCAACTCTCAGAATACCCAAATCAGCATGAGGTTTGAAGTCCATACATCAGGAGAGTGCCCAGATTGGAAAAGGCTGGTTTAGTGCAAGGATGAGAAACCCAGGGTCTTTCCTGTGAGGCTAAACTGCAGCAGTCAGGAGCCCTAGCCAGCATGATGAGAGATGGAGGGAGTTGTACTTCATCAGCCCTGAAAGATTTAAGGTGGCAACCTTCTTCTCAAAGCAGAACTTAGGCCCTCTTTAATTTTTCACTTTCAGAGGGTGGAATGATGCTTAGCCCCCAGCCAGTTCGGGGGCTTACCTCTATGCAGCAACAGCAGTGCTCAGATTTAACCAGCCTGATTAGTCACAGGTTCAGATGTGAACTGCAGCCATGGCCTTAGCATGTTGTATGAGCCAGGCCACCATGTTAATCTATAATATTTATTTGGTATAGCACGTTATGTGAACATAGCAATTGCATTTTGTAAATCTGGGTTTAGTGTGTTGTGTGAATTCAGCCGCTGGGTGGAAGTGAATTTGCCCTGTAACAACACTTACGGCTACTCCTTTTCATTACTTCCTAGTTAGATAGGCACTGGTACCTCCAGATGTGTCGGAATACAATTCCCTTCCAGTCCTTATTGATCCATCATTAGGAAGTTATGTCCTGTGCTCTTGTCAAAATAAAGGCATATATGTTTTTCTTTCCCACCCCTGTTAACTAACTTTCTCTTTGTACTTTTTATATGCAGCATTGACAAGACAGTAGATGGAGCTAATGAATAATGGAAATAAAATACAGAACTTACCATTTTGATTCTAATATTTTTCCAAAACCAGTTGTACATAGTAGAAGAAGTCTATGTAAACCCATAGGACTTATACCGGATTTATTTCATGTTTTGCTATCCCCACCCCAAGGTTCATCTAAAATAACGCTTGGGTGGGACGTGCCTTTCCTTAGTTGTTCCAACAAGTAGCTGAATCCGAAGTACAGGTATGCCTGAATCCTCTACCATAGGGACCTGTAATATGGTTTCTTTGGTTAATATATAACCCTAAACCATTGTGGTTTGTAAAATAGGAAGAAAACAGGCAACCAGTATATCCATTCTGTTTTGCTAGGAGACAGTCCTGTCTGTTTCTGCAGAAGGCAGTCTTTCAGGACAGACCAAGATGGAGTGCACACACTAGCTGGAATCTGGGGCTAAATGCAGGGATGATTTTTAAAGATAAAAATATGGAAGTATCCATTAGGGTGGTTGTGGCTGAAATGACATAAGAGTTTATTTCCAGGACACTTCCCCAGAACCTTGCGAACATGACAGGGACCAGGTTCAGTTTCCCACTTTACATAATCCTCTTGGGTCCAAAGGAATTATTTCTGCCCCTAAACAAAGCCTTCCCCTCATCCTTTCCTTGATGAAAAGAAAGAAGAACTGCTCAGCATTAACAAAGGCAGAATGGAATTGACTAGAGCAGTGTTGTCCAAACTTGGCCACTTTAAGATGAGTGGACTTCAACTCCCAGAATTCCCCAGCCAGGCTGGCTGGGGAATTC